GGTATGCATAATTTAAATACACTTTTTACTATCCAAAGGAGAAAATGGGTTTTCTTTTATTTCTTTGTAGCGATCTGGCTGCTCGAAATGTCTTGATTGACAGCAATAAATCCCTGAAAATATCCGATTTCGGTCTTTCAAGGCATGGGATTTATACGAATACAAGGACACGAAAGGTGAGTTATAAAAATTTAAATATATATGGTATACATATATGTACCTTTCATATGGGACATCATAATTCTGGTTAACTTTTCTACAAGTTCGTTCCATTAAATGCAAATAGATGGTTGCAATCCACAACTTTTTTTTTATAGATCACTCTTAGATGAATTAGTTAAGCTATTATTGCAGTCATAACAATTGTATGTCCTTTCCCATAGCTCCCCCTCCGATGGCTGTCCATCGAGGCCATTCGCGACAATGTGTACTCCAGTAAGAGCGATATCTGGGCGTACGGAGTGGTGCTCTGGGAGATTGGCACCCTGGGCGCCTCGCCATATCCCACGATCAGCAACAGCGAGCTGATCCCCTACTTGATGGCGGGTAACCGGCTGGAGAGGCCGGAGATCTGCACGCCGCAGGTGTACACCATCATGCTGCAGTGCTGGCTGGAGGAGCCCGAGGAGAGGCCCACCTTCGACGCGCTGTACAGGGTGCTCAGTCCAAAGACCACCTACGTGGACATCAACAGTCTGAGTGATGACTACGTCTTTCCGCCAATCAACGAACATAGGGATTAAGCTAACGCGTTACTTCTATTGTAGACCTCCTCCAGCGTTAATTGTTATCAGTGTAATGTAGTAGTCTTAAATCGATATTTGTTACAATCGTTTACGTTTTAAATGTCCTTATTCGATAATTGCTATAAGTGTATCATAGTATTCGACCATCCCAACTGTACAAATATCTCCGTCTGTGTGTGCATAATGCAGATTTCAAAATGTGCCGGAACAAAGTTTTGATATAAGAGCAAGTTACGTGTATGGCTAGTTAGTAAACATTAGAGATTCGGCTTAGATTCACACAAACTTCTTAGTTTTTCGCTTGTTAAACTCTGTGTGTTAAGGTAATTAAGACCATTAAACAGACCTCATGGTCTGCTGTATACGAACGTAATTTTGATGTGCTGTGAGTTTTTAACAAATTTAAATATAATAAAACTAATTGTATTTCACATTTTATTGTTAGTCTTTACTTGGCGTTCATGCGTTCCATCAAAGTATTAATAAAGTTGAAAAAACATTAAAACAAGTTTTTAATGTCGAACGCCATATACCTCGTTCCAGGCCTCAAATTGTTTGCAATCCTCCGCAGAAACACTTTTGGAGATGACCCTTAAGGCCTGCTTAAAATCGTCCATAGTAACGGGTGGTAGCTGATTATGGAAGGAAAAATAATTGAAGAAGTGAATCACTTTCAACATTGCATAAATCTTCAGTTTTTTAAACGTTTTTAGTTAAGTTTAAAATTTAGTTTTAACTTAGTTTGGTTTTGCTTTACTTCATAATTTTAATGAAGTAATAATTGTGTTTCCAAGGTGCAGAGTTTTTTTTCCATCGTACACCTTCACTCATTTTTTGTAGTTTGCATATTTTAATTATGCTTAGTTTCAAGTTCTTCATCATCTTTATACTATACGCTACCACACCCTTGCTTAATGGCCTGGTCTGGGAAATTTAACTGGATAAGTTACACTTTAAACTTAAATTTGACTGGACTACGAGCATTGACGCAGTTCCCTTCATAAAATGATTTGGTTAACTAAGCGGGGGCAGCAATGCGTACCTGGTGCGATTCGATTGTTTCCATTTGATTGGGTGTCAGCGCTCGCAGAGGAGCCATTGATGCATAGCGGCACAGGGAATCCACATCAGCCCCTGAGTAGCCGTCCGTATACTCCGAAAGCTGGTGTATTTCAAAATCATCGAGATTGTGTTTCACCTGTCGAATGATCTTCTCTATAATTTTCTGTCGTGCCTCCTTTGTCGGAAGCGGTACGTAAAGGCGGCGTACAAATCTCCTTCGAACCGCCTCGTCAAGTTCTTGCGGCCGGTTGGTGGCTCCGATCACCAGAAGTCGAGTTTCCTCATTACTAGCAGCACCATCCAAATGAATGAGAAACTCGTTTTTTAAGCGCAGAGTACTCTCATTCTCGTTCCCCGAACGCTTAGACAACAGGGAGTCCACCTCGTCTATGAAGATTATCTGAAGACAAAATAGAAGGCAAGTTGAAAGTATATGAAATCACTCTTGACTTAAACTATGCCTCTTAGCTTAAGAAATGTAAACCTAATTTCGAAAGCAGAATGACTGGCATGTCTGACATACAGCTGGCTGATGGGCTGCGGCCACGGCAAACAATGTCTTCACCAGCTTCTCCGCTTCGCCAACCCACTTGGAGGTGAGGCTGGAGGGATTGATGCTGAAGAACTTCGCCTTGGCCTGCGATGCAATGCTCTTGGCAATCAGTGTCTTGCCGGTGCCAGGTGGTCCGAATAGCAAAACGCCTCGTGGTGGACACCGCACTCCGGTGAACAAGTCCGGGCGACGCAGTGGCATTATAATGGCTTCCAGGAAAGTTGACTTTGCAGATTCCAGACCGGCAATATCCTCCCAAGCTGAAATGCCGACATATGAATGTGTAATTTGCTCTAAATTGATTCAAGTGAAACACCGAACAGAGCACTAACCGACAGGTTTGAAATCATGCATACTCTCGCCGAGGATTTGCTCCACCATCTTGGGATCCAGTTGGGCCAGGGCGGGTGGCACATTGTGGCAGCTCCTGCTTTCGAGCGGATTAAATAAAATAAGTACGTATGCCAAGTTCTGGGAATCTGCTTAGAATGTGTTTTCTTACGAGCTGCTGAAGTTTTCACTTTGCCGCAAGGGCGATACGAAATTCGAACTGACAGTACGCTTTCCTCCGAGTTTTTTCTTCCTGAAGTTCATCATGTCGGATGGAGATTCCCTTACTGTCTGCTGTTTTTTTTTCTGTGAAATTTCAAGGCAAATCATTAAAAAATGTAGTTTTACGATTAAGGGCAAGGAGCTGCAAAATCGAGAAAAATCTAGTTACATGTATGGAAAGCTCCTCGTAAGTAACTAAGCTTTTAAATTTAAAATGCCCGTGGGGATTCCATAATATAAGTATAATGTCAATAGGTGTATAGAACGGTAATCAATGGGAACTTTTAAGTAGGGGAGCTGGGTTATGTCTTGTAAGAAAGCATATTTGTAGTTTAAAAGTTGTGATGGGCAACAACATAAAACATGAGTTCTTGAGTTTCAAACATACTAGTGCTAGTGATCAGGTATAAATATAGATTTCATCTATGTTGCTGAGACCAACTTGAAATTTAGATGTAACATTTTTTAAATGAAACAAATAAAGACCAAAAAAACGAATTATAAACATTTTAAAACCCTACTCCCTCCTTAAATTGAATTTGTGTTCGAAACCGAAGCCGGCAAACCTTTAGATCGTCCAGAATAAGTTGCTCACGTGCTGTGCGAAAACCGAAGCCGTTTTGTGATGAGTTCTCTTGTAGACTCTGTTGATGATTGTTCTCATTATCCGATTTAGAGCGTGATTCCGGGAAATTCAAATTAGATACTGGCGTTGAGATTGGTTTGGGTTTAGCCGGATTCTTGGCTAGGTTATTGTCGTTTAACAGCAAGTCTCTTGATGTCATCTCATCCCTTTGACAGCTCTCATAGGAGCTCTTGCAGGATGGCTCGAAGGCGTTTTGCTGGGGCATCGTGAACATGTTATCCGAACACATAATGTGCGAATTAATTCTGCGGCTCGCCCTTATTGTTCGCTGGCATCGACTCAAGCGCTCTTTCATTGTATTCTCCGTGCTTTTGTCCTTCTGCAGTTTATTTTGGTGCTCTTTGAGCAGTGCAAAATGTATGCAGTCGCTAAGGAGACTGGATATAATTTAACGTGAGTCCTTTGTTGTTTTGGCATTAAATGCAATCTTACCTGGTTTGCTGGCATAGCATGAGAGTTTGGCGGCGCCATGCATTCTGCTTTTGGGTGCTGGAGGCTTCTTTTGACCTGAAAGTAACATCACAGACAGCAAATCGTTCGGCCCACTGCTCTTTGCTCATTTTGTTCTTGAATGCAAATAAATTAATAGTTAAGACAAAGATAAGTTAAGACAAAATCTCGCGGCAAAAGAAAATCAGCTGTGGGTTGGTTGAGTTTCGTAGCAGTCGGCATCTTGACTGCTGGCGACCTTTCTAATCGTTATCGATAGACTTTTAACCCTTATGGGAGATTATTTTCTCAGTTTATAGTTAATTGCAACATAATTTAATTTAAAAAATTCATGCAGAAATATATATATTTAAACTTAGCTTTGGGGCTGATTAATTCGTTACCAAAATGTGTTAAGAGTGTTAATGCATTATATGACAGTTATTTTGTGGCAGCATGTTGCGTTTAATTGGTTTATAATTCGCTTACAATGCCGTTATAATTTCTTGTTTACAGTTTAATTTAATTTGTATATGTAAACTAACAAAATCAGTAAAGTTAACAACAATGCAAAAAAATGCGTCTGGCGGCAGACGCTATAAAGCAATGAAGCATATATAGTAAGTTATGTATCACTCAGAGTATATCAACTGCGTTGGGTGGTATAGCATTCAGGTTTGGTGCATCTGAGATCCCTGCTAAAGCTATCGCTATCGATAGGTTTCTCAACCAGCTTTATATCAAGTTTAAATTATTGTTATTAATTTGACAGTTTTTTTTTAATTAAACCATTGCCTTTAAATTACATTGTTATTGAGCGGTAATCCGCTCTTTGTTTACCGGCTCTCATGTCACGAGGATTTTAACACAATATTTTTCGATCAATTACTTGACAATTGTTATTAATTGGTTCGTTTGGATTTAATTAAAAAGCATCCCATTTGCTTGGACTGTGAGCCACCCCTGGACGTCACCATAAACACAACTAGCAGCCAAGGCAGACGTACCCAGATCTTATCGCCAAATCGGTCTGTATGCTCACGTTGGGCAAATATATACCTGCATATTGCTCATTCCGCCCATCTTAAACTGCCACTAAAACGAAAACACGTCCGGACACAGTCTCCGGTCGTGAGTGGTCCCTGGAGCGGAGTTCAACTGGGTGGCGCATAGTGGGCTTGTTATCTCCGGGTGAGATAACGACTCCGATCCCACGGCCATAAATACACCCACAGCATCTATTAGCTGATTCTCAGTCTAGCAGTTTGTGCAACAAGTTGAAGGTGTTTTCTTCTGGGCTCTTCGTTTGAGCAGTCTTCTTCGGTTAATTGGACTAGGAAACTTTTTCAGTTGGACCTCATCAGAATGTGCCTGCCAAAGCGAGTTGGTGGGCTGGCCATCCAGAGTGTTGCCACGGCTTTAGGTGAGTGGTATCTTACTACAAAGACAATGCTTTGTGAAATGTATAAAAATTGGCCTAAGCAATAGTTTCCAAAAAATCATTTGATTTAACATATTTGTTAGGATGTTATGAAATAAAAATATAAAAAATATACTACAATCACTCAATTTAAATTTAAAAAACATAATTATTTAATTTACTAGATTTATTAAATGTAAGGTAAATGTCTTGTATTGCAACTTAATTCTTATTTATAATACAATAACGTCAAATTTGTTTAATATTTGTAAATATTTATATTTCACCAACTTGCAGGCAACATTCTGTGTTTTAATTTTGGCCTAATGTTTGGCATTACACCGGCGCATATGAGCCTTTATGAGTCCGAGCAAAATACCCCTCTGAACGAGGTAACCGATCCGGCGGGAACTGCCTGGCTGACAGGTTACCTGTTCCTCAGCGCCGCCATCGGAGCCTTCTGCTCTGGATTCCTGGCCCTACGGATTGGCCCCAAGTCCGTGCTTCTCTGCTCTGGACTGCTTCAAATTGTGAGTTAACAAAGCCCCTGCACAAAATTCCAGGAAGATTTCATTAATTCTGTTTTGCATTCATTTTTGTTGAAAGCTGTGATAGTGGTGCAAGAAACAGTAAACAGTAAATCAATAACACGTTTGAGGAAAAAAATGATGCTGCGTAGGAAATGCAACTAGAAATTGTATGCTATTTCAAAGTAGGTTATTTTTTCTGCAGTATTGGTTCTATGAATTCTTATTTCTTCGAATTCTCAACTAATTATGCTTCATTTTTGTTGAGTGATTTCCTAGACTTAAGCTAAAATGGTTCTTGGAAATGGAAAAGGGAGAAGTAATAAGAAAATGTCTGCAATTGTATACTTTTTAAATTGGATATCAACATTTGTGTCATTCCAATTTTTAGAACTTTAAGTATTTGTACGCATTTCCTCCAAGGATGCTTTTATCCCAAAAAGTACAAAATACCCGCAACAAACAAAAAAAGTAGAATATACTTGAAATCGCAAAAAGCTATTGAATTAATTACACTTTATAAAGGGTTTAGTCTACTATTTTTTGTAGATTTTCTTTTCAACCTTACAATAATTTGACCTTTAAAATAAATAGTTAGTTTTGTAATTTTTTTTTGGGTTTAGGGGCCCTAAACTTACTTAGCTTTATTTTCATTCATTCAGTATTTGAGTAGAATAATAAAAATAAATGTTTTCTAGGAAAATGTAAATTTTATTTGGCTACCCTTAATATATAACCACTATATTTCCAGTCCGGTTGGGCCTGCATTCATTTTGGATACGATATAGTTCACATCTACGCCTCCCGGCTGTTTGCGGGCGTGGCATCTGGCGCAGCTTTCGTGGTCCTGCCGATTTTCATCAACGAAATAGCCGAATCGCGAGAGAAAGCGGCCCGTCTGACCTTCACCATTGAGCTGTGGCGCACTCTGGGCATCCTCATGGGATTCGTCCTGGGCTTTTACGTTCCCTACCATCTGGTCAACGTCGTGGGGTGCGCAGTATCCTTTGTGTTCACGATGACGTTCCCCTTTGTGCAGGAGAGTCCGCACTTTTATTTGCGCAGGAACAATTTGGCCAGCTTGGAGAAGTCGCTGCGCTGGTACCGTGGCATCCGGGACATTGACGATCGCGACAAGCCGGAGTACCTCAGCGAACTGGCCGAGTTTCAGGCGGAGCTGAGGAGCAGGGGCAAGAATGTGGGATCCACGCCCCTGTCGCACGGCTATATCATCCGGCTGACTTTCGTCAGCTTCCTGCTGACCGTTTGCGCCAAATTGAGTGGCGTTTTCGTGGAGCTGAACTACGCAGCGGACTTCCTCGGACGCACCGGCTACTCCACGGAAACCAATTACGTAATCCTGGCCAGCGCCCAGTGTGTCGGAGCGCTCCTCGCCCGCATCCTTGGTCCCCGCCTGCCGCGCAAGGTAAGTGCATTAAATTTACCATCATTTGCTCTGAGTAAATTACTTGTGTTTATCTCAATTTACGACTTACAAATATATTTCCTACGATTGGTACTTTAAATTTATTAAAAAGTCGGTGAAAAATAAACAAAAAATTTTAATTTGAAACATTTAATATTTATATTAAACTATAAAAATATTCAGTTTTTCTTATACAAATAACAATTTTTGATTTAACCCAATCTGATGATTTTCTTGCAGCTCCTGCTCTGCATTTCATCGCTTCTTGCAGCGGTGGCGGTCATGGCATTGGCGTTATTCAAGGTTTACGGGCAGTTTTGGCTGCTGGGCAGTTGGGCGGAACGCTGTTTGCCCATTGTTCTACTAGCTTTCCAGCTGGCTTTTGTCAGCTTTGGTCTTTATCCGCTGGCTGCTGTCGTTAGCAGCGAAGTTTTGCCCACAAAGGTAAGACGTTTCCCTTGGAAAAAATTGCATACTTTTAACGGAGTTTTAACTTACGATGTGTTTCCGTTGAATATTCGATTTTTGATTTGTGTTAATTTTTGGAATAATACTATAACTTTTTTATGATATATTGTTTCAACGTAAAGAATAATTTTACTGAAAAAATTAAAATTTAATTTAAGCATATATCATATTTCAATCAAATTTAATTGTAATGGAGAAGGTTTTAATTTAATTAATTAACTGAAAATATGCCGCCTTTATTTTTTATTTCTACCCTCCCCTTTAAATCAATTGATTCAACGAAAATAATAAAATCTCTTTTCGCCCAAGCCTTTTTCGATTTTACTCAACAAATTACATTTTAATTTAAGCATATATTACATTTCAATCAAATTTAAATATTATGCAGAAGTTTTTAATTTAATTCAATAACTGAAAATATGTCCTCTTCATTTTTAATTTCTACCACCCCCTTTAAATTGATCGTTTCAACGAAAAGAACAAAATCTCCTTCCGTCCATATTAAATGCCAGCTTATGTTGAATTTAAGGAACAGGGGCTTTTTTTATGAACATTTGACCACGTCCGCGTATGTTTAATGAACTGTTATCCTTTGGCAGCTGCACGATTTGCTGTACTCAGTGGCTTCTGCCGTTTCGTGGCTTCTGCTCTTCGGAATGATTGAGGTGGGTGATTAAATTTTAAGTCGTAATCGGGCAAGTCAATTAACTGAGTTTTATATGCAGGCATTCAATGCAGTCAAAGCCACAAACGCTCCCGGCTTGGTGCTTTATCTGTGGGTCTTTGCCGGCGCCTCCATATTCGTGGGTGTGATATCGATTCCACTGCTGCCGGAGACGCGCAACCGACGTCCGTCGGCGGTGCAACGCGACCTGGGTTATGTGGACGATGGCGGAGTGGCCAAAGGACCGGCCGCGACCAACGGACACATTTCCACACACATCTGAGATGCTCGAGTATTCACTCACTGCTAGCTTTACCTACGATATTAATAACGAATTTAGTTTTAAAGCCTACACAAAAGTATACAATAAAATATGATTGGTTGCACAAGTGCCTCTAATCAGCCAATTTCAAACCAAACTGTAATAGCAAAAAATAAAGAGAGGAGCGAATTTTCTCTTTAAATTTTTAATATTTTATAATGGCAGTGGCAACGGTAAGATCCGGAATTCATCTAACTAATATGTCGCGCACGTCACTTGGGTTTTGGTTTACGGCTTTATCGTTTGCCCCGAATCTTGGTTGTTTGGTTAAGGGTCTTATCTGGTTTACGGCCTACAAAGCACTACTGTCATAAAACCTTACCCCAAGAGAGAATAATTTGTGATAATAATTACGGTAGATGGGTTTTCCTTGCGACAATGTACAGAAGTCTAGAATGATATTCTTATGATTTGTAGTAGTCTTTTGGTACACGTGTACCTATAAGTAATTTTATTAATTTTTCTACAATAGTGAGATGCCCTCGGCCTTGGGAGTCTTTAATTCAATAACTGGTGCTATTGATGGATTGATAAAAAACCGATTTAGACCCTTGAACTTTGTTTTTTTTTTTTTAATAAAATTATTCACATTACTATAGATACATTTCTTATAAAAACAAACTATAATTGATTACTTTTTACGAAACAGTTCCTGGAATTTGGTATGTTTATTATTTAAATGTAAGAGTTATGTTTCTTAGATTTGTATACACTGCGTATACGTGATATTATATGGTGTTTTAGAAATATACTAAATATAACTTAATATTTCTTGGATTTTATTTTGTAACTTTAGCCACGTTTCAGATCACTCGACAACAGGCGCCAGCACGCATCACTTTCGCATGGCAAACACTCCGCTTTAATTCAGTCGCATCACCGAATAATCCAAATTTACTGGTAACTTGGCGGGAGGAATTGCCAAAAATGATAAATGCGCGACAACTGTTTGAGCTGAGTATCTCGACTGGGCCAATATTTGCCTAGATTATGACTAATTTATAGTAGTGCCCCTCTTTTTATTTTCAGTGGGAGTATCGAAGTGACAGAGAGAGACTTTCCTCATTGAACGCATATCAAATCAGGAAAAAACAAACAAGAGCCGTACAAATAATTGTAATCGGCTGGAGAGGGCTAGCAACAAAACAAATTTGCACTAACACCCCGGGGCAATAATTAACTATTTTCTGTGACAGTGGATTCGCTTTTGCTCTCATTTCGCCAGAGCATAATGGGTCGGTGATAACGGTCTATAATCTACGCGGCTACGCTGTTCAACTAAGCTCGTTTACGATCTAATGCAATATATAAGTATTATCATCCAGCCACTGGTTTCGCTTAGTTAAACGCGAACACTTACGGACCCTTGACGTCCGCGTACTGAAAAAAAAAGCCTGTGTAAAAAACAAAACGGAGGACTCGCCGGGCAATGACTTGCGTAGAATAGTTTCTAAAAAGTATCTGCAAAATGAGTTCCTCCGGTGGTGATAAGCACCAGTACTTAGCTGCCTTAAGTGGTTAGTAAAACGTTTACAGAAATTGAAATAAAAAGAAACCCTTATATATTAAAGTAAAAGATTTTGAAAGAAATAATAAATATAGTCGAACATTCAAAACTTGAACGTCCCCTTGCCAACATACCAATTCCCGTTAGCATAATATTCAAAGTTTATCTGTTTTTAATTTTGTTTCCCTCGACACAATCTTCCGAGAACTGGTATTACATGAAAACATCATCGTTTTGTACTAAAGCAAAACGCTTTTGGTTGTTCGTATAAGCGTAAAGATACGTTTTTGGCGAGCAAATGGATTAATTTTCCTGGAACTGTTTGGCTTTGGAAAGTAAAACGCGCGCATGGCTAAAATTTGGTTCGAGCCAAAGAGAAACGTCATTTAAAATATTTTGGCTAAACGCTACTCCCACTGAGTTTTGTTCGAGTTCTGAAAATTTCAAGTTATGAATATTCGAGCTATGGAAGTTCGACTGTACCTTCATATATTGCAATGTTGAAAAAAGAAGTCGATTTTTTATGTTTGTCTATTCTTGCTGTTAAGTTGTTGTGGCTAACATTATTTTATTTTATTTTTCCATCCTCTGGGTTAATTTGTTTGGCCAAAAATGGCGCACAGTGAACATAATTACCATATCGTATGGCGCATTTTGCGGTTGGCCGTCGGCCAGTTTTCTGGAACTGTCATCAGAGAATAGTCCCTTGGAAACAGGACCTCTAACATCAAAGGATCAGGGCTGGGTGGCATCGAATATATGTTTGGGTGGCTTGTTCGGGACCTTTTTGTTTACGTGGTTGGCGGACAAAATTGGCAGGAAATGGAGTCTACTGTGGATGGCTCTGCCGAACTTGGTAATTAGTCGACAATTTGAATTGTTTTATGAAAACGATTAAATTTAGCGGACTTACAGCTGGGTTGGATAATAATTCCCTATGCTCGCAATCCGATGCACTTAATCATCGCCCGATTCATTGGAGGAGCTGCTGGCGGTGGTTGTTTCACAGTGATACCCATTTATATAGCTGAATTGGCGTCTGACAGGTGAGATGTCCTTCAATGTTTATTAAGCTGAAGCTTAAATGCTCAAATACTTGCCTTAGTATTCGCGGCATTTTGGGTGTCTTTCTGGTGCTCACTTGCAACTTTGGCGTCGTATTGGCATTTGTCCTCGGCTACTACTTCAACTATGCCCAAGTGTCCTGGATTGTCTCTACGTTGTCCTTCGTGTTTGTGGGCTGCTTCTGGTTCATGCCGGAGACACCGCAGCATCTGGCCAAAGTGAATAAGATTGAGGAGGCTGAGCACTCTCTGCGGTATTATCGCAACATTAAGTCCAAGCCGGCGAAGGAGCTGAGTGAGCAGGTGAAACTGGAATTGCAGAAGCTGAAAACCACCGAGAAACCTGGCGGGAAAGTCGATAATGACGATGGTCAAGCTGGGGGGGTGACTTGGGCAGATTTTGGTGAGTTTTTTAAAACGAAAAAAATCCTAAACCTTCTAGACATTTTAAAATAATGGTTAAGGTATTTCAAAGGTAAAAGAAAATATTAATTTTTTGTTGCCCTTTAAATGGCACAAATCAGAAAAGAGAAACTGCCAAAAGAGCTTAATCAAATATTCAGTAGATAAGTAGTTAAATAATCGTTTAGGATTCATCTATGGCTGAACTAGCAATTAAAGACGAGATGCCAAAGCTTGAACTAAGCAGTTTTTTAAATAAATAGTTAATTAAATTTATTAAAGTGTAAAACGTAACTAAATAATCACCTTTCTTTGGCTTTGCGGCTTCGCTAGAAAACAGAAACATAAGCCTTTTGACTTCTGCATGAATTCCCGAAAATAATTGATCTATTTATTTGTTTTCATTTAAATTAAAAAACTCAAAAAAACTTGGTTAGGTATAACAGACAGTCTTTGAAATGTTATTAGCTGCCCTAGGCTGCGTATAAATAAATTAAGTGACAGAAGCAATTAGAGAATTTCCTTTTAATTGGTAAATTATTGCATTTGAAAATAAACTTTGTTGTTATGTAAATTGTTATGCCCAAAATATAATTGGTTAGGTACAACAAAAATTATTTGAATGCTAAGCTAAGCTGCAAATAACTTAGGTGACAAAAGTCAATAGAAAATTTCCATTTAATAGCTCAAATATTGAATATTTTTAACTTAATTTTATTTGCTCACCTAAGGATGTTCACTGGAAAAAGAAATGAATGAAATGAGTTATTATAAAAGTTAAGCATTTTAGTCTATGGAAATTTGTGAAGTGATTTTTGTAGCTACCAAACATATATTTAACAATGTTTATCTGTATACCCTCAGCTGAGGGCAAGACCCGCAAGGCTCTTCTCATCGGATTTGGACTGATAAGCTTTAACCAACTGTGTGGATGTTTTGCCATGCTGAACTACACGGCTGTGATTTTCGAGCAGGCCGGATCCAGTTTGCCGCCCACGGTGGCTGCCATTATTGTGGGAACGATTCAGCTGGTGGGCACCTATGCCTCCACGATTCTGGTGGACCGATTGGGCCGGAAGATACTGCTGCTGGTGTCGGCCGTGGGAATCGGACTGGGCCAGAGTGCTATGGGCACGTACAGCTACTTCCAGGTGCTTGGCTACCAGGTGGCCTCGTTCAGTTGGGTTCCCATCGCCGGATTCTCGTTCATGCTCCTCCTCGCTGCCATCGGACTGCTGTCCTTGCCCTTCCTGGTCATATCGGAGATAATGCCGCAGAAGATAAGGAGCACTGCGATAATGATGCTCATGTCGGTGCTCTGGTTGATTTCCACCTGTGCCATCAAAGTGAGACATCTATATGAAACTATACATGTTTATGTTTCTAAAATTATTTTATGTTTCAAACAGCTAATGCCGATGTTCACTGAGTCCCTGGGAATGCATGGAACCGTCTTCATGTTCGCCAGTTTATCCTTTGCAGCAGCCATTTTCATTGCCATCTTTGTGCCCGAAACCAAGGGCAAGACAGTTGAAGATATCTTGGCCAGCCTTTAGTATTAGTAATTTAAATAAAAATTGATTGTTATTGTTTTCAATAAAATATGAAAGAAAATCCACATAGTTTTTTTTACGAGGTATGCTAGATCTAGATTTCAATAAGCAGCACAGCTATCACGATTGTTATGTGGAAAGCTACCTACAACAAGTGCCTGTCTATTCGGTTGCCTTGATCTTCTACAGCTGTCACCATGCAACAGACCTTGTTAACAAGCCAAGTTATAAGATAAGATCCGTTGAGATAAGACCATATATATACAAGAGGTGAGTTCCCAGTGGTTTTTAGATAGGCTATAGAGATATGGACGAATAATTAACAGCAAAAAAATTAAGAAGTTAACTAAGATGTTTATTCAGAAATGTTGTTTATGAATGAAAATGCCCTTTGTTAAAACTTTTTAATGATTTATTAATTTTTATCCACAATCATAAGAAATAAAAAAATGAAAGAGTAAAAATAAATATCGAATTCTTTTTTTATATATAGTATTTTAATTTACTATTTAAACAAAATCTTAAATGAAATGCATATTAAATTACATGATTTAATATTAAATTAGTTTAATTAATGTGGAAATATAAAATTTAAAATATTTACTATTTAATACTTATTTAATACTTAACTATATAAATTTACTACGTTTTTTATCTGTTTAATGAAGACTCTTGTAGCTTTTATTGTTTTTTAAATTAAGAGTAATTTAAAAAAAGGTTTAAAAATGACGTTAGTAGTTTAGTTCGTTATTTCAAAAAAACAGTAGTTAAAAAAAGCTTAAAAAGGTGCGTGCTTAGAATACGCATTTGTCAACTCAACACTTATTTTTGTAGTATACTTCTAGGATAATCTACTGACTCACAATAGAACATCACAATCTTTTTCTCTACGTTACATCTCACTAAAAACTGTGTTGTGACTTTCAAGGCTTATCTTCCAACACACTCATTAAAAGGCTATGAATATTTACCTTGTGAAATCACTCACCGATACCAAAGGAGAAATTTCTGCCAATCAATCTTAATCTGATTGTTTGAAAGTAGAATTTGCCAGCTTGAGGTTAATCTTTATGGGAAAACTGTTAGCAAACAAAACAGATAGTCATGCAATTAGGTTGACAGTTTACAGCTTAGAGAGCTTTTGTTGCAAGCATTCTCGTGATTTAAATAAAACGACTTACTTACATTCTTTGAGTTACACTCAAAGGTCGGATATATAAACAGTTAAATGGCAAAATTCGTCGAAAATTCCTTTCTAAAAGCACACACACGATATCAGCTTTTAGCCACTCTAATTGGTAAGTTGAATTAAGGGCCAACAAAAACCTAAATACAATTGATGATTTTCCGAGAAGTTAACATCATAACCTTTGGTCATGGACTGGGAGTGGGTTGGCTTTCACCCACATTGACCAAAATTCAAATGCCCGACTCGCCGTTGGGCTTTCACGTAAATATCGATGAAATTTCCTGGATGGACTCCATGATGGGATTGGGCAATTTGTGTGGCAATCTGGTCGTAGCTTTCCTTTTGGAGAGAGTTTGCATGCAAATATGCATTTATATACTGGCAATACCCTATGCAGTGAGTTTCAAAATGGTTTTGAAATCGTATTATTTTTGCCTTAGTGCCTTTGGACATTGATCTATTGCGCCTCCGGTATATATTTCCAGTATATATATGCAGCACGTTTCCTATGGTGGCGCAGACTATGTGGTACTGCCCATTTTCATTAGTGAAGTGGCAGACGCAAGGTAAGCTTTATTCAAGAATTATAAAATAACAGTATTTACCTTTACGGATCCACAGCATTCGAGATGCCCTGACTTCCATGGTGATGTTATCGGTGGATTTTTGCATCCTGGCTACCATGTAGTGCCCTTCTGGGGCGTTATTGTGCCCGTGGCCTACTTCATTGCCAAGGTGAAACAAGAGTGAATTCTCCCTAGTTAGTAATGTTTATATTGGTCCATTTCAGACACGTTCATTCGGCACATCCGTATCCGTTATTTGGATGAGTATCCTGGTTTTCTGCACACTGAAGCTATTTCCTCTTATGCTTCACTTTTGGGGTATCTCGTTCACCATGTGGTTTTCAGCATCGTCCAGTCTTCTCACATTCATCTACTTCCTGTTCCTTCTGCCGGAAACTAAGGGAAAATCCATGATCGAAGACGAATCATTTTTTTTCACTGCTTGGCAAATGTATAAAATAAATAAATGTGTTATAAATGTTTTCTTAATTTTTGCTTAAGTGTTTATCAAATATTTGATTAAAATTAAATAAAATACGTATAACAGAGTTTTTGCATGGGAAATACGAATTTCTAAGAAATATATTACCAAAACTTAAAAACAAAAAACATCTTCTCAATATAAAAACAAACGACTACTAACTGAATACTCTAAAAAATTAAAAAAAAAAAACATTCTTTAACGTTACGATTTTTTGTTTACTTTTAAAAATTTCTAAAAGAAGACGGTAATATGGAATTTAGGGCAATAACAATTATGTTTAATATAATTTATTATAAATCCAGTTTTTCTCCAACAAAAACGAGGCAAAAGAAATTCTGGTTGAACCTTTTAAACCTTTGCAAGCTTTTTGTAGCAGAGATTTCCTCGTTTCGGCCTTATCTTCTAAATAAAGTCTGGACTAATATAACAAGCAATACAGTTGGGGACCAGACGAGACAAACTGACAAGCCCCTTATTTTGTGGCCTCATCTCAGCGATGGTAAAAGTAGCAATTCATTGTTTGAATTGTGAAATGAATAAGGTTCAGAAAACAATATTGTTCAACTTAATCTGTTTCCCGAGGAACAACAGGTGTTTGGTGCACCTTTTCCTTTTTCCTATCTTTACAATGTAATTTGTGACGTTGCGTTGGGACTGGATTTGGTAATGCGAAAACACTGAGATTTAGGCAGCAAACTAAACACCCCCAATGATCTCGAATATTGCGAATATAAAGTTTATGAGGGGAGTCAGTTGCGAGCTTTTGTATCTGCTCGGTTTTCAGCACTAATTAGCACAAATAGCCATCGCAATCGTGGCGAAACGCTGAAGTGTGACTGACATTGGCACGGCTGAAATGGCTAGGATTTTCGAGAATTCGCTGCTGAGGCACCAAACACGTTACCAGCTTTTGGCCACTGTCATTGGTGAGTGACGCCATGCAAATTGTAGTTATTCAATACCAATTTAATTGTAATTGACTTGTATGTATAGTGAACATCATTACCTTTAGCCATGGAGTGGGAGTGGGCTGGCTCTCACCGACACTTACCAATATTCAAACTGCCGATTCGCCGCTGGCCTTCAAAGTAAATCTGGCCGAGATATCCTGGCTGGGCTCGATGCTGGGACTGGGAAGCCTGTGTGGTAATTTAACCATAGCTCTGCTTATTGAAAGAGCCGGTAGGAAGTTTTGCCTCTACCTAATGGCCGTACCATACGCGGTGCGTAATCCTATTCCAATTTGGAAATTTGTAATTATCAAACTTTCGCTCATGCAGTGCATTTGGATTTTGATCTATTGTGCCTCGAATGTGTATTTCCTGTATGCAGCACGGTTTTTGTGTGGGTTCACCGGAGGTGCTGGTTACGTGGTGGTTCCGATTTTCATCAGTGAAGTGGCTGACAGCGAGTGAGTGGCTTTTTATTGCTAATTAAAACCATGATTCTCACCCAGTTATATTCACACAAACTCAGCATTCGAGGGGCTCTCACATCCATGTTGATGTTATCCGTCGATTTGGGAATACTGGCTGGCTATATACTCAGCACCTATCTGGCCTATCACGTTGTACCCTTCCTGGCGATTATCTTGCCGGTGGCCTACTTTATGGCCAATATAATGTTACCCGAAACAGCTCCATATCTGCTGAGGAAAAGCCAACTGGGTGCAGCTGAGAATTCGTTCAAGTACTACAGAAATCAGCGAAATGCAGTTGCTGATCCGTCCTCTAAAGATAATTTCGAGGAGCTTCGCACAGCCGTTCTGGCTCAGCAGACGAGGAATTCTACACCGCTGAGTTACAAGGACCTCAGTGAGTAAAAAATCAAATCCAAATAAAATACAGGATAATAGAATTGAACCCATTGCAGCTACCAAGCCAGCTCTAAAGGGTTTTGCCGCCTCAATTGTGCTCAGCTTGGGCTACCAATTCAGTGGCGTTTTCAGCTTCATCAACTACATGTCCGACATATTCAAGGCCTCTGGCTCGATTGTGGATGTTAACACAGCCACCATTATCATAGGAATAGTGCAAATTGTGGGCGTGTACACTTCGACCATATTTGTGGACATCGTGGGCAGAAGACTTCTGATGCTGATCTCTACCATGGGCGTGGGCATCGGATGCATTGCCTTTGGTTGCTTCACTTACTTGGACGACATCTATGATCTCAGCGAATTTAATTGGCTGCCCTTGGTGCTGATGATATTCATCTGCTACGTGGCGAATATTGGATTGATTGGAATCTTTTTCCTCGTCCTGGTGGAGCTTTTTCCAGTGAAGGTATAATTGGGTCAATGGGATGTTTTGTACTGTTTGCTTATGACTGTGTTTTTTTACTTTTTTCAGATTCGTTCTCTAGCCACATCCATGTCGGTTATTTTCTTGAGTATTCTGGTTTTCGGCACCCTGAAACTGTTTCCCCTGATGCTGCACTTTTGGGGAATTTCGATTACCATGTGGTTCTCTGCCGCCTCTGGATTGCTGACTTTCCTTTACTTCTGGCTATTTCTGCAGGAAACTAAGGGAAAGTCCATGATTGTAGACTAACATCCCTTAAGAGTCAACCAGTTGTCAATATTTCATGATTGTTTTTAATTTGATACACATTTAAAGTAATATAAATAAATAACAACATTTTTTTAAATAATAAATAAATTGAATTTAAGTGCAATACCCTTTATTTTTATTTGCTAAGAGTCACTTTCAACTTATCTGCCAAGTTCGAGAATTCTTAAAAAAAAATAAAAAAATATATGTAAACAAATTTAAAGCAAGTCACCATGCCAAGCAATATTTAAGATTTAATGTGATTGGAGAAACTGTAAAAGAAATTGTTATAAAAAATATTTAAAAAACTATATAAAGCAAACCGAAATTGAGTATATGTTGTGGTTTTCAATAGAAAGTCTTTTCAAGTGTATTCACATATGGCAGACGTAGATGTTATAAAAGACTTTGTCTTATCTGGCTTAGATAAACCGGTAACGGAATATTTAAGGGGAAGTTCAGAGCGTAGATGAAACTCAGTCAGTCAGTCAGTCTGGAGAAAGCATCTCAAGCAAGATGTTGAAATTGCGCTTGGCCTCGGTCTTTGACAATCCCAATTGTCTGCTGGGTCGCAGGAATCGTCACCAGTTCCTGGTTACCCTGTTGGGTGAGGGGTCATGACTCTCTTCTATAGTAATTTAACTTAACTTATTTACCCCCCAGTGAACATAGCAACTTTCTCGCATGGCCTCGGTGTGGGTTGGATGTCGCCGGTGATGAGGGATCTCCAGACCGATCAGTCGCCCCTCGCTTTCCCCGTGCTGGTGGAGCAGGTCTCCTGGATAGGATCTCTGGTGGGCATCGGCAGTGTGGTGGGCAATCTGCTGGCCGGATTCCTGCAGGATCGCATTGGACGCAAGCTGATCTTGTTCTTCATTGCCATGCCCTACACGGTAAGTAGTGAGTCGATAGTTTTCGGTAGGAGAAACTATTTCACAACTCTTGTGATATCTGCGATTCTTTCAGATCTTTTGGTGCCTGATTTATTTCGTCCAGAGTGTGGAGTTCCTTTACATTGGCCGACTGATGGCCGGGATGACTGGTGGCGCCTGTTACGTCGTCTTGCCGACCTTCATCAGCGAGATTGCCGACACCAAGTTAGTGTTTTTTTCACTAAAGCGTGCTGAATGATTAACTACCATTATCCACTGTCCATAAATCATTACAGCGTGCGCGGTCGTCTGGGCTCCATAATCTTGCTATCGGTGAACACGGGAGTTCTGGCGGGCTACATTGTTTCAACAAGTGCGGACTACTATGCATCGCCACCGTTCATTATCGCCCTGCCAGTTTGTTATTTCATCTGTAACTTCCTGTTTCCCGAGACCCCACATCACCTCATTCGCAAGGGCAACTTCGATGCGGCCAAGCGATCGTTTATGTTCTACAAAAACATCAGGAGAGATGATCTTAAGGCTGAGAGTGAATTCGAGGAACTCAAATATCTGCTCACCAAAGAACAGGCAGAGAAGGCCAAGTCCTATGATTACAGGGATTTCAGTGAGTAGTTGAGGTCTACCATTTTACTTGATTACTTTAACCGCTAGTAATTTCAGTTACCAAACCTGCATTTAAGGCCTATGCTACTGCTGGTGCCATGCTGATTGCCAACCAGTTTAGTGCCAGTTTTTGTATCGTCACCTATTTGTCGGACGTCTTTGCAGCCTCCTATACCACACTGAACTTGAGTATGTGCACCATTGTCATTGGAGTGCTTCAGATCGTGGGCAACTATGTAACCACTCTGCTGTGTGATAAATATGGACGCAGAATTCTCGTGTTGACCTCTACTTCCGGGGCCTCGATTTGCCTAACTGCCTTCGCCAGCTTCACCTTCTTTGCTAAGAGCTATGATCTATCCGTGGTTGGGTGGCTACCTCTGGTGATCTTGTCCTTTTTCGTATTCCTTTGCAACATTGGCATGGTGGGCTGTCTCTTCGTGGTTCTCGTGGAAATCTTTCCCTCCAAGGTGGGTTCTATATATTTACTTATTACTTTTATTTTTACTTTTACTTTGACTGTATACATACATATTTGCAGATCCGATCGGTGGCCGTCTCCACCTTTGTGGTCATCCTAAGCAGCACCGTCTTCGTCACCCTGAAAATCTTCCCTATCTGCATGGCTGTTTGGGGCATCTCGGTTACCATGTGGTGCTGTAGTGGCATTACGTTTACCTGTTTTCTCTACTTTTGCTTCTTTCTGGAAGAGACCAAAGGCAAATCGCTACTGGAGGCTTAGTTTATTTGCCCCAGAGATAATGGTTTTATCAAATTTGTCGCACCCGGGCGATTAGCCTAAGCCAGTGTAGCTATCTTTACGGCCAGAGGATACCGACCGGATACTTAAGCCGATTTCTCAGTAGACTGCCATTTCAGTGATCAGAGATGCTTGGCCAATGCAAGTCTGAATAAAGATCGGCGGGTTTTTTTTATTTTTTATATAACAAGAGGATAAGTTTTATTTATTGGGACAAAATGCTGATGAAATTATTTCAAAGGCCCAACTGCTTGCTGAATCGAAGGAATCGATACCAGCTGCTAACTACGCTATTGAGTAAGTAATACAACGTGGTGATTACTCAAGGAAACTTTAGTACTTTACGCAACAAAATCTTGATCTTTAGTAAAAATACCTATTAAGTGTAGAGCAAAGTTCCTAATTTGTGTCACATTTTGTCCTGTTCAGTCAACGCTATATCCATATCCCATGGAATCGGCATTGGATGGCTATCACCCACTCTGCGAAAGCTGCAGTCCGACTCACCCGTGAGTTTCGAAGTGAAGTCCGCTTTCGAAATCTCCTGGGTGGGTTCCATGCTGGGAATGGGCTCAGTGACTGGCAATATTTTGATAGGATGCCTGCTCGAGCGCCTCGGCAGCAAAAGGTGTCTACTGTTCATCGCCATTCCGCACTCGGTAATTTGTTAGATCGAACAATTGGGATGACCATTAACAGTGTGTGTCCTTTTAGTGCCTTTGGATCCTGGTCTACTTTGCCCAGAGTGTGGAGTACCTGTACGTGGGAAGACTTTTAGCGGGCATTTGTGGCGGCGGCATGTACATTGTTCATCCCATTTTCCTCAGTGAAATAGCAGATGCCAAGTAAGTGCATAATTTATGAATTGTGTCAAAAAGATTGTCACGATTATATGATAAGGTTAGACTTTAACGTTACCGTGTTGTTTTTACTATGATTTCATATTTTTACCTTCCATTTTAAAAAAGCCTATAGACAAACAATGCTTATAACAACATCATATGAATATCTTTTGTGATAATTAACACTTACTCATCGCTTTCAGCATCCGAGGCACCTTCTCAGCCATGGTGATGTTATCGGTCAACGTCGGCATACTTGTGGGCTATATAATGGGAACCCACATGGCGTACTACTCGATTCCCTGGATAGTGCTGATCCTGCCCCTGTGCTACTTCATTTCCGTATTGCTGTTCATCAAGGAATCTCCCATGCATCTTATAAGAATCGGCAAGTACTCAGCCGCTGAAAGATCATTCCGTTACTATAAGAACATCAAGGACAGCGATAATATACACGACCAAAATAGAGCCATGGAGGAGTTTGAGCACATGAAAATTTCCCTGACGAAGGGCGATCCTCTGAAGGATGCCATCACTTTTAAGGACTTTTGTAAGTTTGGCAATATCATCACCTCAACCAAACTGTCGGGAGAACAATCTTATAATTTTTCTATAAGGTTCTTCATTGAAGTTTTATGAAAAATTGTGTATTTTGTTCATTTTTGTTGTTTTTTTTTGGAAGGCACTCGACCCGCCCTTAAAGCCTACGGTCCCGCACTGGTTCTGCTTATTGCCAATCAGTTTAGTGGACTCTTCACCATGGTCAACTACATGTCGGACATTTTTGCGAATTCGGGCAGCACAATGGATCCCGATACTTGCACCATCATCATCGGAGCTGTCCAAATTCTGGGCACCTATGTCACAACGCTGCTGTGCGACATTTGTGGACGCAAGCTCCTTATGTTGGTCTCCACGGCAGGAGTGGCCATTAGCCTCACTGCCTTTGGGTTCTTTACACAATACGCAAAGAACCATGACGTTGGTGAATGTAGCTGGATACCCCTGCTCCTAATGTCGATGGACATTTTCCTGGGAAACATTGGCCTGGTGGGCTGCTTTTTTGTCAGCCTCGTGGAAATGTTTCCTGTCAAGGTATGCTTTTAACGTACACATTTTGTATAGTTATTATTATCGTTTTCAACTACAAACATTCTCCAGATACGTGCCAAGGCAGCCTCAATGGCAATTGTGGTCTGCAGCAGCTTCGTGTTCGTCATGCTCAACATTTTCCCAATTTGCATGAAGGAGTGGGGAATATCTGCAACTATGTGGTCGTGTGCAGGTGTTACTGCATTTAGTTTTGTTTACTTTACTTATTTCATGAAGGAAACCAAGGGCAAATCCATGTTGGATGATTAATTGGGATGACTAAAAGATAATAAAGACTTTACCGTAAATCTATGCAAGCATGGAAAGAATTTAAACGTTTGACGTTTTTTCAAAAAATATGGTTATGACCGAATTGAGGCAAACATTATATGTAATATTCCTCCATTTTCGAGTAGAATTCGTTGGATTAAGCATAACGAATTCTTTTAGTTCAGCTTACATTTGCAAGTATATTTAAATAAGTTTGTTTACATATAATTAGATAATATACATTTTGCTTGTGATTTTTCTCATTTAAATTACATAATTGGCTTTCTCCTATCAAGCACAAATAACTAATGCTCTTCATTTAAAACTAATTAAAAAAATAGCATACTAAATCACAGTGTTTTTTCCCAAGCGAAAAAAATTTGCAATATTCTACAAAAATTACTAGCATTTTCATTTTAAACATATAATAAATGTAGATACATGTGTGCGGGTGGTGCTGGATGTGGGGCATAGAGCAGTAAATATTTTCTGGGGGCTTTTAAAACGTACATTAAAACATATAGTTGGCTTTTCCTTCCTTTCTCGTGTTTCAGGGGCAAAATAGCGAGTAATAACATATAAACGGCTAACAATTAAAATGCATAAAACAAAACAAAAATTAACGTTTACAACAGTTCTCTTGCACTGCCCAACCGCAAACCACATCTAAGTTACTATAGTAGGTATAAGGATTATTGTAGTTATAATAGCTAAACATAAATGGTGTGGCTTGAAAGTAAATTGAATCACAAAATTGGCGCAATTTAGCAAGTTTGTTCAGTTGTAGCGGTATAGCAATGTTTAGCATTAACTAATTACGTATCACTGGTTCGATGTCTGCTCAGATAGAAAAATAGCTATGGATATCACGTCTTTTTGGGGCATCGCACATATCGCAACACCGCGTAACCTAGGCAGCGGAATACCAGGAGGAACATCATCAGAATCAGCGTGTTCAGCCAGAGCGGTGATGTCGAGTTTTGAGCTTTGAGTATTTCCTCGTATGGAATGAATTCGGTTGACTGCTGTTTGCAAATCTCGTAGCTGCTGGGCGATCCACAACTGCAATAAGATAACATTAATAACATGAATTATGTTTAACATTTATTGTGGACTAACTTGATTAATAAATATGGTGGACTAAGATAATATTAAAAGAAAACATACATTAAATTTTCCAATTTTAAAATTGTATAATTACTATCTTATTATTGGATGATTTTGTACTAACTTTAATATTCACATAAGATAATATTAAATGAAAACACATACAAAAATTTTAAAATTACAGAATTTTGAAATAATTTGACTTCATTTTGAATATAAGTATTTAAAAAATTAAAGTTTCAATTCAAAATCGTTAAAAAATTATTAAAATCAACCTGTCCCTTAAACTAACTCGTAATTTTATAAAAACTTATCCAATAACACTATTAAATTTGGAAAAATATTCTAAATAATACATTAAAAAAATATATTAAAAAAATAATAATACTATAAAATTTACTGAATGTCCTATTTGGGGACAGATTCAAAATAAAAAGTACGAAAAAAAAGACTTCGATAACAAAAATAAAAAAACAAAACATATGGCTCACCCTATAGCAGCACCCTCGCGGAACTCGAGAATCTGCATGTTCTGGTAGGCGTAGTGGATCATGGAGGTGTACCGGATCCAGCTGAGGCCCTCCGGAATGCGGGACGACAGGTAGCCGCCGAATAGCTGGGTGGCCAGCGTGTAAAGGGCACTCAGAGTGATGCTCACGTTCATGTCCATGCAGCAGGCTCCGATGAAGAAGCCCACGCTCTGGGCCACCACCGTGTTGATCAGCAGGAAGATGAGCATAAGGAAGAAGAGCTTTAAGCTACGAAATTATCACAAATTAGTAACAAAATTCACCCATTTTAGAGAATGACAATACTCACCTAGTGCATCCCAGCATGGGATAGCTAATCATGAGGTAGACCGTGGGCAGGGTGATAACCAGCGGCAGCTCGGCACACATTTTGGCCAGATAATAGGCGGACAGTCTGTAGGCTCCGGAGCGACGTTCCTTGCTCACCACCTCTCGCTCCGAGGGGACTGTAAAATACATAGAATCATATAAGTAAAATGTTTTTTTTTTTATGTAATATTCCCGTAAAACCCACATGAATTGAGGGCCCCGAAGAGGGCGAAGAGCATCCAGTAGGTCTGCGAGAAGAACATCCAGCCCTGGAGGTCGTGGAGAAACTCCTCGGTCCGCGGCAACTGGAACCAAATGGCACCGGCCATCAGGGCCAGGCCAATGGTCTGGAACCAATTCAGCTTGGAGAGCATGCGCGGCTTGGCCTCCTTGAAGTTGCGGCTCGAGAGCACGCAGAACTGGGTGTGAAAGCTGGTTGGATACGACAGCCAGTCGTCGTCTGCCGAGTGTCCTGGCCCACTGCCAGTGGCACTGTACGAATGGCAATCGCTGGAGGCACAGGAACTGAAGTTGGACTGCGAATCGGCACCGCACCACACCAGATGCTGGGCCGCCTCCTCATCCTCCTCCACCCGACAGCCACCCGTTGTGTGGTGCAGGTTCTCATACTGATGGTGGTGGCGGTTGGATCGTTGGTTATAGTAGTTGTTAATAATTTCGTCGATCAGTATGCTGTCCACCTGTTTCTTGCCCTTCGCCTCCGAATCGCTGGTCTGGTGCTGATGATGGCTGCTGGTGATGCAGTTGCGATTCAGGTAGTTCCCATGCGATTCCTTGGCGGCTATAAAGAGCTTCTCACGGATATCCGGATGCGACTTCAGTTGCTCCACTGGAAAATAGGGGAAAGCGGTTAGAAACACACACAAAAAAAAACACTGTCTCATAAGCTCAGATACAAAATTAACAGAACTATATATAATAAAGGCGGATAGATCAATACAAATAAATTGTATTTACATTTTACTTATAATATTTATAAATTAATAATATCAATTGATATATATTTGAGATCAATTGATTCGTTATCAGATGTATAAATGCTACTTAATTCATTTAATCATGTAATTTTTCTGTTGATTATTATCATAGTATATTGTTCTAATCATAAAACATGTTTGACTATTAGATTTAACGAAATACTATGGAAAAAATTGAAATATATCCTTTTCCTTTTTTATATAAATTATTTCTACAAAAAAACGATTTATGGCCAATAAATGGTTTGAATGATTTTAAAAAGCACCATTCTCCATATAATAAAATAATACTTCTGAAATAAATGTTAAGAAAAAAGTTGTGCTTAGAATGAGCAACATTAAAATAAGAAGTTAAGTGTTGTGTGTACGCAGTATTTAACGAATATCCGAACCTTCCTGACTTTAGCTCAACTTACGGACAAAATCGGCGGGATTGTAGTGTGGCTTGATGGTGACCCCGATGTCCTCGAAGTGGCGGTAGATGTTGTGCACGTCCCCGAAGTAGGCGGTGCGTCCCTGGTGGAGCAGCAGCAGCTTGTCGAACATGTGGAACATCTGGGACGACGGCTGGTGCACGCTGATCACAATGGTCTTCTGCTCCAGCTGCGCGTACCGCTTGAGGACCTTCATCAACGAGATGGCCGAGTGACTGTCCAGTCCGGAGGTGGGTTCCTGCGAAAGACCATTAGATACTGACTTTTTAGAGTGATCCAATTACTTACATCTAGCAGCATAAGCAGAGGATTTGTGAGCAGTTCGCAGGCAATATTCGCCCGCTTCTTCTCGCCGCCGGAGAGTCCTCGGTTGAGGTAGTCGCCAAACTTGGTCTGCTGACAACAGCCCAGCTCAAGGGCCTCCAGGATGTGGTCCACCTGTCGCATCTTCTCCGCCCGCGGCATCGATTCCGGCAGACGCAGAAGTGCCGTATAGACCACCGTTTCGCGGAGCGTCAGTTGCGGAAAGAAGATCTCCTCCTGCAGGACATAGCCGATCCTTCGGCGCCACTTTTTGGTCAGTGGTTCGCGGTTGAGGAAGACGCCGCCGCTGTCAATGTGCCGCTGGCCACTGAGGCAGTCGAGCAGCGTGGTCTTCCCGCTGCCCGAAGGACCCATGATGGCCAGAACCTCGCAGGGACTGCACCACAGGATGGGCGAGAAAATGCAGAATGACTGAATTATCGGTTACAGACTTTCGGTTAGTGCCAATGCTGCCAATCGTATTTACTTGATTTACCACATTTAACCAATGCTAGCTACAAATTCGAGCTTAAGAAAATAAAAATAAAAAATAATTCCAATACAAATTTTAAATACATAATATGAGCTTGTAGACATTATGTATTTAACATTTTTTTTTCGAAGTTTTATTATAATAGTCAATTAAAACTGTATAATGGAACTTTATGAATCAGGCATTTTTCCGCCACAAACGATTTAATTAAAGAAAGAGCTAATTTGAAATGAAAATGCTGCTGTGTTACTTAATTTACCAAATACTTATTGGGAATGCATGCTCAATTACAACGTCATAATAATAATATTTAATTAAAATAAAGAAATATTTTAATGGCAATGCTGGCAAATGTGAAGTTTTAATAATTAAAAAAAAAAATATTTAAATAAATTTTATTTATTTAACAATTTATTATGCATTGGACATTTTTCAGCAACAAAATCTTTACTAAAAGAAATGTTACATTTTAATGGCAATGCGTCCAAACCTTGTACTTGATTTACCAAATATGCTATTATGTACAGTCACTTAAAAACATTATATTAAATAGCCACATTATGCGTCACTTTATCATTTTTCCGCATAAATGATTAAATTAAAATTAAATTAAATTTTAAAAGGCTACTCATTTAATTTAATATAACGAAAATTGTAAAGTTACTAAGCTTGAAGCTTGAAACGAACACTTTAATTAAAATACCTTTGTAATGGCTTTTAAGTTAATTAACTATGCTAGAGCTGCAATGTTTTGGCTTAGGACGAGCAAGTATAGTTGGCAGCACGGCTTTTAGTAGTTCTCGTGACTCTGAGTGCTTTTGTTCAGTTGTTCTTGTTACCTGACAAATCCACTCACATCGGAAAGTAT